TCTATAAGGAACTTTCAGTATAAGCCTGGAATTGGCAGAAAGTGTTACGTGTCTGTGTTATCTGTTATTCACCCTTCTTTATGACCCTGGTGGCTGTGGATAGGACATCACTGGTTGTGGCCCTCTGGCTTCCTGTTGAGTTTCTATTGGAGGCACCAGTAGATTAGAAAGTTGACAGGGAAGGAAGCCGGAGTAGACGGGGCACTTGTACACCATCAGAAGCTCACACTGGGGCTGGCAGTGACAGGTGGGTTGGTTTGCCTCATAAGCATTATCTTGTTCCCAGACCCGCCTGCCCCCACTGTGGCTTCACCCTCTCCCCTGCGGAGTCAGCCCCCCTAGTGGTGGCAACAACCCCCTACCTGCCAGTCCCTGGGGCCTCACAAGGCTTTGGATTCTGGTAACTCTGCCTAGACACCTACAGCAAAGAGCACCTTCATCAACAGCCCTAAGTTAAACCCTTGGGCCTGCCTTGGTTTCTAGCCAGAGCCACTACCAATAATGTAATAATGCCAACATGTGTAAGCCATTTTTAAAGGTTTCCATGTTATTTACAAATCCTAACAACTCAAAAGATGATTTTACCTTACCTGCCTCCTCTATTCCACCTTTACATGTTGAAATTCTGCCTTATCCTTCAAGGATCATCTTCAACATATTTTTAACTGCATATAGTTTCTCAAACACTTGGGTCTCTACAATTTTTTAAAATTTGATTATTTTGGAGCCTACTGCCTGGCGTAGTGGCATGTGCCTGTAGTCCAGCTACTCTGGAGACTGAGGTAAGAAGATCAGGCTTGAGCCCAAGAGTTTCCAGTTCAGCACGGGGACAATATAGTGAGATCCTGTCTCTTATAAAACAAATAAATAATACAAAATAATAATGATATTTTGGATTTTACTTACATTTCCCTCACTTTGCTATATTTTCATTTGCGGTCAGTTCATCTCCTCCTTCTCTGGCTAAAGTCTCCTTAAGATGAATGACAGAATGGCTGTCATTTCTGTACCTCCTCCTAACCCAGCAGTAGTTCGGTCCCAGTGCACATACTCAGTAAATGTGTGCTGTTACTGCCAGCTACTTATTTTCAATTATTTCTCCACCATCAAACCTGAACATTTTCATAAATACACACATCAGGCTTTATACATTACATACACACATACATGATATATATCTACATACATACCCCAACCTGAAACTTACCTAATTTTTCTTCCTCCATTTGGCCTATATATATGGACAACAACGAGGTATTTGCCTTCAGTCAAGTGGTTTCTCAAACACTTTCTACATTCTTACACTCGCATGTCTCTGCTAACCCAAAAAGAATTCACTATCTTCCTTCTTCCTTTTTCCCGTTCAGGACACCCCATATCGTCACTCATTAGAGCTACAGTCGGACTCTGATTGGTTAACCGTCCTTTGCTCTCCCTGGGTACGATAATTGCGGTGACCAGCTGTGTCTATGTCTCAGCCTTCTCCTGGACAGGCATTTTATGCCTGTGTTGTCACTTATTACTTACACAATTATATGGAAGTTACCTTTCATATCCAAAACTCACATTTCATCCATCAACTAGAAAACACGTGAATAACTTGGTCATTCACCAATTCAATTATTCATTAACTACTTCTTGAGAAATAGGCATTGTGCCAGGCACAAGGAAGGGAGTGAACCTGAAGCAGTCCCACCCTTTTGAAAGGAACTTGTAGTCGGGTAGGGCATGTGGATGAATAAAACAGATCACAAGTTCAGGAGTTCAAGACCAGCCTGGCCAACATGGTAAAACCCTGTCTCTACTAAAAATACGAAAATTAGCTAGGCATGGTGGTGGGTAACCCCAGCTACTCAGGAGGCTGAGGCAGGAGAATCATTTGAACCTGGGAGGCAGAGAGTGCACTGAGCCATTGCACTCCAGCCTGGGTGACAGGGCAAGACTCCATCTCAAAAACAGGGGAGGGGAAGGAAGGGAGGACAGGAAAAAAAAGAAAAACAACTACAGTCACATGTATTATGGAAGACATGGGCATTAGTGTAGGGCTCCTGGGGAGCTCATAGCAGGGCCCCTAAACTGGTGGGTTGATGGGTGATATGGTTGGCTCTGTGTCCCCACCCAAATCTCACTTTGAATTGTAATAATTCCCACCTGTCCTGGGAGTGACCCAGAAGTAGGTAATTGAATCATGGGGATGGGCTTTTCCCATGCTGTTCTTATGGTAGTGAATAAGTCTTACAAGGTCTGAGAGTTTTATAAATGGGCAGCCCCCCACCTAAGCTCTCTCTCCTGATGCCATGTAAGATGTGACTTTGCTCTTCATTTGCCTTCCACCATGATTGTGAGGCCTCCCCAGTCATGTGGAACTGTGAGTCCATCAAACTTCTTTTTCTTCATCAATTACCCAGTCTTGTGTATGTCTTTATGGGAAGGATTAGACCAGACTAATACAACAGGAGTGGGCTGGGTAAGACTTCCCGGAAGAAGGACGGCTAAACCACAGTCCCCGTTCTAAGCTGGGGTTTGATTTCAAAAAAGAAAAAGAAAAACCCTCAATATTTGGTTGATTTTGAGAATTATTTAAATAATGTCAATCCCAGTTGCAACAGCAGAGAGATACTTTTCACAACCGAAATTAATACAAATTTGCTTGAATTCTGCTCCGTGTAAAGAGAAATTATCTGCTTTGGTAAGTCTGACTGTGAAACTTAATTCAGCTTCCAGATTAAAATATCCTCTGCTGGAGATTCACACAGAGCAGCAAGATACAAGAAAAAACTAAATTTAAATTGTAATTGTACTTAAAAATTCAATACATCATTGTGATCTTGCAATGATATTTATTTCACGTTTAAACTACCCATTTTTTCCTCACACAGAAGAGCTTTTACTGGCAACTCCAAGTTGGACAGCAAATGAGAATAGCAAATGAGGTTCTAGCTCCTCAGTCATCTCACTTGACTATTAAAGACAGCTAGGAATATTGATGAAAACGTTTTTATTTTTAATGAATTTAACTATTTTAATGCTATAAACATCCAATGTAGATGTCATATGCATTTGAATATATGTTACATATTCAAAGTTAATTTGTAAGCCATTTAATTGGAATGTGACATGCATCTTCCTGTAAAAATGATAGCTAATTGTGCCTACATTCTCAGGCTAGCCCCCAAAAGTCGATCAAACATCTCTATGGGGAAACATTAGGCAATGGTCAAATTCAGAGGTCCGGTTCTGATGATGCGAAATGAGGTTAGGGCCTTTGAGGCAAAGATCGGAAATGAGGTGGTAGGGACAGAATCGGCTGTCTCTGAGGCTCTCGTGCTATATAAAGGAGCGAGCTAGGGCTTTGGACTTAAACAGACAAGGGTCAGGATCTCAGATGCATCAACTACTAGTTCTGAGATCATCAGAAATTACGTTCTCTGTGCCTTCACATCCTTACCTCCAAAAGGGGAGTGGCTTAGGAGCACTGTAAGGATGGAGTAACACAGCATATGCACCTCTATAATACCTGTGACAGAGCAGGTGCTCAGTAAATAACGGCTCCCTTCCATTCCTCCATTGGCTTTCTGCACCTGTTACCTACCCTGGCCTATGGAGAAAATGACCTCTGTTGTAGAGTTGAAGAATTAAATGAAGTACGTGTGTGTCTGTGTATACGTGTATGTGTGTTGTATATATAAAGCCAGTAAGTAGTAAACACATGGCCTAGCAAATAGGAAGAACTCAATAAACAGTGGTTTGTTTTATTTTTCCACTAGTAGCATACTTACCAGACTGCTTCCCTTTACCCAGACACAGCCTGCAAAAATTCTGGCACATGATTGTGCAGTGTGAATCATTGTGTTTACCATAACAAACACAAAGCTATTGTTTTATGACTGGTACTACGTTAGATGGTTCCCATTGGTTCCAGAACTCTCTGGGCTAATCTGGAAAAGGGACAGGAAGACAGTCTGAAGGCATCTGTTTCTGCAAGCTCATTAGCATGGCCTGAAAAAGGCCTTGGGTTCAGGGATGAACATGAAGACAATTACTTTTTCCCCAGTGGGATCCCATGGCCAGGCCCAAGCCCAGTGGAGAGAAGGGCAGGATTCAGAGGCTGTAGTTTTGCAAGGATATCCTGGGTACAAGCAAGTGTAGGAGTGGAACTCTCCGTGTGTGTGCACAAAACACACGCAGCGCTAGCTCAGTGACACCCAAGGGACCATACCAGGAGCTGGGGTTCCACATCTGGCCAGGGAAGCAATGTTCCTGAAGAGGATACCAGCCATGATGGCAACAGTGAAGGAGACACCAGTACTTAGTGTTTCCAAGGACCTTGGACACCAGGGGAAGGAGCGTTCAAAGAGGAAAATCATGATTCCTGATCACATGAGACACTCCTGGGACTTCCCAAATAAATGGGGAAAGACTGTTGGAAGGCAGGGATGTGATGCTGAGAACGCAGTGGGATGCAAGCCAGGGGAATGTGAATCCCTTTGATGTAATTCATGGGGCATCCATAGTCTGATAAGGTCTGAAAGAGGGTACAAATAGGAGGGCAACCCTAAGTCAAGCAAATGCAGTCATTGGGAAGAGCTCAGTGTCAATGGCTTGACGGCAGAACAGAATAAATGGTTCTATTATAGCTGCATAATAATCGTTTCCAAATATTGTTATCAATAAGCATGCCTCTTTTCTAAACAAACACATGCTGAGCCTTTAATTGTTCACTGCCATACAGAGATGATATAATGATAGTTTACTAACACTTCTCAAGATCTTGGGTGGAAGACACTATATAAATATCAATTATAGTCAGTTGAAGTGTTATTGTTTTCTATTCTGCATTGGCATTTTCTATGGAGTATAATAAAGTTTTTATCTCTAATCTTCATACCAAACAATTGGCACCTACCTGGGGTACTGTCTAGAATGATTATATTCTGACTAGCTTACAGTAGTTGCTCTGAAAACATTTCTTATGGAAGATTTTCATAGTCAATAATTACCTTTGTGGCGTCTTTCTTCCAATACATGCCCACATGTACTGTTAAGATTTAAGTGGTTTCACACTGTGACGATATAAAACAATGTCAACATATCTCAGCTTTCTCGCAGATGGAGAACAGCTGTGACTTTCCTCCCCATTTGATCATGATGTTACCATTCCTGATCATTCAGTATGAATGTTTACCTCAAGAGATAATTGCTCTTTTCTGGCTAACGTTTGAGTCAGTTGGCTTAAAGATGCTCGGAACAAAGCATTCTGGGATAGCAACGGATCAAAGTCCAAGCTTGACTGCAATGAGGAGGGCAGACAGGGAACCTAGAAGGGCATGGTTGCAGTTATGGGGCACTGTAAATTAGGAGGGAACAAGAAAGAGAGGCACGGAGACAGAGGGCATATCTCAAGTCTCGTAAGTGATCAACTTGAAAGCAAGTGAATGGATGAACAGCCTCTGTAAGTCTGATTTTTTCTTATTGCACAATATGAGATATAAAAGGCCTGGGTGTGGAAAATTAAAGAAAGAAATTTTGAAGGAGTCTCATAAAAACTTGCAGAAGCATAGAAAACATTAGCAAAACACAAACAGCTTGAATTCCAAGACACAAAAAATATGAAATACAGTAAAAAATGAATGAAACAGAAAATCAAAAGGCCTGAGCTCTGCTAAAACTTATCCTTGCTTCATGAGATGTTGACAAGTCTTTTAATCTTTCTCCGTTTCTTCCTCATCAGTAAAAAGAAAATGATGAACTAAAGTGACCTCTTAACAACAACAACAATTTTAAAAACTGGCCACATATGCAATAGCCCTGAGTCTTCCCTTCTGGGGAAGTGTGTGCTTTAAAAAGCAAACAACCCTCTTATGAGTATGTCTTCCCAACATCCCTGTGTGGAAGACAGAATAAATCGTTAACCTCAAACGAAGGGCAACTAGAAAGTGGAAATTCCATGTTGCTACTGAATCAATGCTGGAGTCTAATATTTAAGTCCCATTCTCCTGTATTTCCTGAGAGTCACCAAAACAGTAGCAAGTGCACCAAGCCCAGGGGAAGCCGCATACAGAGGCAAAGCAACAATCACAATATGTGGTGGAAACGGTCAGTTTCCCTGATGTGCTGTATCTAATTTTATTTTATGGTCTTGAGAAGCCCCGAAATTTCATAATGTCTTAGTTTTCTCACCTGGATGTGTGATTAATATTCTCAAAACTACCTTTGTCATAAAAAGATGCCAATGCTGGCTGGGCGTGGTGGCTTATGCCTGTAACCCCAACACTTTGGGAGGCCAAGGCGGGCGGATCACAAGTTCAGGAGATTGAGACCAACCTAGCTAACATAGTGAAACCCTGTCTCTACTAAAAATACAAAAAATTATCTGGGCATGGTGGCATGCACCTGTAGTCCCAGCTACTAGGGAGGCTGAGGCAGGAGAATTGCTTGAACCCAGGAGGTGAAGGTTGCGGTGAGCTGAGATTGCGCCACTGCATTCCAGCCTGGGCGACAGAGTGAGACTCCATCTCAAAAGAAAAAGATACCAAACCTTTTTTGAAAATACCAAAAATTGAAGCATTTCAGAATAAAAAGTACCAGTTTTGAGAGGTAATGTGCTTCATGGAAATAGCACTGAACTTGGAATAAGAAAAAAAAAATGGTTTTGAAAGCAGGTTTGCGATCATGAGCCAGGTGACCCTATGACCTCTCCGTTTTCTCATATGATAAGTGCAAGATTTTAAATTTGCCCTGTCCACCCCAAGATTGCCAAATTTAAGTGAAATGATCAAAGGCATGGCCTTTCTTGAACTATATATAGTACTATATATGTACAGTAGGCTAGGCAAAGTGAATTCTTCATAGCCTCACCATAATCGTAATTGCAAGGAACCTAATTACTTTTCACTCTCCCTCAGGTCGTTAACTTTCACAGGTCCAAAAACTAAATCAGGAAACTTCACAAGTTCCTCAGAAGGTGAAAGAATATCTACAAAAGAGGTGAATTCAGCCTAAGTTTCATAACCCGAGGCAAATCCAGGAAGAGTAACAGCACAATTACAAAGAGTAACTTTTCAATTACCACTCTTACCTGGCTGGTAAGACAACAGGAGAAGGTGTTAATAAATTCTTGTTCACCAACGACTCCACACTGCAGAAACTTCCCGGCCCTACTGAAAAAGTCATAGAAGCCTGTCTGCAACAACTTGGGTCCTTATTCATGGAACAAAAAAAAAACCCACGTGGTCAGGACTGACCCTGATAATGCTCATTAGAAATGTTTTCAGTCTTATATCTCACACAGGCTTGTCCTGGAGAAAAGCATCTTTGCTAGTTTCATGTAAATGCTTGCTTCCAGATCGTATTTTGGACATCTTTTTTTCTTTCATTTTTTTTTTTATTCAGAAAGGCAAGGTTTTTTTGTTTGTTTTTTTCTGAATACTCCCTGCATTCCCATTAACTATAGGTGTAGCTACTGCCCAAGAGATTCCTAAAATTATAGTGAGAAGAAAGGGGAAGGGAAGGAGCCACTGAAGCCCCTCTTGGTCAGAGGTCTATTTTGTGAAACGCCTGATGGACAAGATAGTCAATTATGCAATTTTTGTTTTGAAGACCCAAAACACGAACTTGCACACCTCCCTGCAATGATTCATCCTCCACCGCACCCCCTATGCCCAGAAGCCCTGTTTTACAGCAGAGAATATTTCTCCAACATATTTCCAATTCTACATCTAAATCCATGTAACAGTAAGCCATTTTTTAAATTATGTCTTAAATTACCACGTAATTGTCATATTCTGCTCCTATTTTTGCATCAAGTTTTTTGTTGTTGTGCTTTGTTTGTTTTAGTCTCATTCCCTCTAGATTTTGGCTTTGGGAAAATTGATTGAATTGCCAGTTCCTCATGGGCAGGAATAGATTTTCTACTCAACTTTGAAATTCCCCACAGAACCAAGAAGAGTGTTACAGCTACACAGAGTGAACGCTGCTGAGAGCTGATGGGCAAATTGGTCTCCTAGCAAAGGGCACCAAATCTAGAACCAAAACCAACAGACAAAAAGCATCAGTTCCGATCTTTTATCACCCTCCAGGCCAAACACATGCCTTTGTATTTGTTCATGGTTTCTGGCTGACCCACATTCCCTCCCTCCATCTACTGGAAGTGCAGGCTGCCTATTTAGAGAGTAGGAAGACCCTTAGCAATGGGTGCAGGTGCCAAAAAGCATAGGTTTCTTGGGCGGCCTGCGTTACCCCAAGAGGGACATCTGCTTAGCAGGAAGCTTCCACTATGTGCCAGCCTTCAGAACCATCTGTCTCTTTACACTTCCGGACACACACACACACACACACACACACTTCCATGCGTCCACCGGGTGTGAAAACTAAGTTGAGAGATAGAAGCCGCCAACATAAGTCTCCCTTGCAGCAGAGCTTGGAGGGGTGCATGATAAAGAAACGTTGTGATTATTCTATGGGCTTGGCATCCCTGGATGGAGGAAAGTTTTCTCACCCCACCCATACCCCTCCAGCCCAGCCCCAAGCTAGAACAGCAACTTATAGGCCTGAAAGACTTAATAACATCACTCACAATGACCTTCAAAACAAAATTTCAAGGCAATAGCTCTGATACAAAGTCTTCAAACACTCAGAAAAATGCCTCTCTTCAAACTGCTTTCATAAGGGGAAATTAGAGAGGCAAAAGGGAAAGTGTCTTTTCCATGGGTGACCTTTTAATCACAAGGATTGGTTGATCTGATGAGGTGATTAGAGAATAAGGTCAGTGAGACTAAGGTCACACAAGACAGACACACGTAAGCCATGGGCTGGGGGCCTTCAGGGGCTTGTCCTACTAATGTCTGTCTGTGCGCGCATGCGAGCATCTGCACACACCTGTGTATGGAAGAGCAGGACGTGGATCGTGCCGCTTCGATGGATCCAGCATCTCTCTGCTGAGGCACATTGTTAGACTGACATCCAAGATGTGAAATCTGTTTAACTGTTTGAAAAACGTTATAGTGATTTTATAATTTATGTCTCATTTTAAGAAATATTTGGAAACTCAAGAGGCAGTTTAAAAAAGAGAAAAGAGAGTAATAAGAAATTCTGAAAAGAGGGAGATGATAATACCAGATATCAGAGACAAGAATTACTGCAATGAGCACTCAATCTGGCTCTGCAGTCAAGAAAAAAGAGCATAATGAGAAGTGACAGAGTCCTCAGCATCGAAGAAAAGAGAACATTATCAGTGTACAGAAAGGTAGGTCTCTCTGGACTGAATTTTAGGAGAAATTTATTGCACAGAAATATAGAGATGGACTGATAGGTGGGCAAATATTGACAAAACATTAAATAAAAACAAATAGAGCTTCGCGAAGCAAGTCAGCACAGAAATTTTAAATACGGGCTTTTTAGTAGACATGACTGGGTTCAAATTAGGATCTACAACATTGGACAAATTACCTAAGCACATCAAGTTTTTAATTTCTTAGCTCTAAAATGGAGGTGATGGTACACACCTCTCAAGCTTATCATGAGGATTAAATAACAAGGCGCAGGTAAAGAATCTTACACAGTATCTGGCTAGCAGACGTATAAGAAATGTTGGCTCCACCTCCCGTCCCTCACTCCCACCCACAATGGTTAGATTCAGGTCTTTTTGTGGATAGAACAGAAATCAGAGACCTAATGCCCTTGAAGCATTTCCTCAGAAAGTGTAGGTACTACAATAGTCTGACTATATTGCCAGCTGGATGCAACAACAGAGCTTGGAGAACCTGCAGGGATGGTGGCTGGCCTGTCTCTTATACTGACAATGCTGTTAACACAATGAAGGGGTGTCAAGACTCGGCTATCTGGAAAGTACTTAAACGGTAGATGCTCATCAAAGATAACTTCACGTTTGAGACACCCATTGTCAAGCAGTGGTATTAACATCCTTTGAGTGTCTCACCCAGATAGCGGACCATCCCACCTCCACAGAGAGGGTTGGATGACTATAGATAAAGCCATGTCTTTGTCTCAAAGAAAACATTCATGTGACTCTCTCAAATGCTTAGACAATGATGAATTGAGTTCCAGAACTCTGCATCATAAAGCATTAGAGCATAATTTGAACTTGGAATATATGAGAATAAATGTTCTTTACTTTAAAAACCACAAAAAAACACACCTCTATGTGGCTGTTAGAAACATCTTATTTTTAATGCATTGTCACCAGATGGAAAAATGAATGCGTGCATTATTAGATGGACGCATAAATACGTACCAATCTTTTACCACGTCTGACTCTACTGTTGGCCTCTGTGCATATTTTATGTCCAGCAAAGGAAACCAAAGGTCATATGCTGAATGATCATTGTCAATTACACTTGTACACATCTTGGTGCAACTGTAAGTTTACATTAGTGATCCATAAAAGAACCTTTGAACTAAATAATCCCACATGATCAGGTATACAGTCCATAGTACAGTTAAAGGAACAGAAGCAGAAAATAACCATTAGAAGAAAAATGATGGTAATTTAGTCATCATATACATCATGGTTTGAACATAACTAACAATTTCATTAACACAAAAATTCTAATACTAAAAGTTCTTTAGCTAAATAAAGAACTAACCAAAATTTATTTCCACAGCCAAAATCTAGCCCCTGGCAAGTTTTATAATATCTGTACATTTTCTCAAGTGGTCAAAGCAAATCAACAGTTTAATTACAGCAACTCTGTGCAAAAGCCACTGCAGCCAAGCAGGTCACAGCCAAGGGTGCTGTGTCACCTCCCAAAGACTGGGCAGCCAGAAAAACCTCAGATCATTTGCAAGTACTGAAACATGAAGGAAATGTTGGTAACAAAAGAGCCGATATACTCAGAGAATTTTCAGAAACTCTTTCCTATGTAGACCCTTTCTCATCTTCCTAAAGACACAATCATTCATTCCCTCAATATTTCCGGCTTGCTCACTGTATGCCTGGCACTGCTAGGCAAGGGGAGGGGACAGTGGTGGGCAGAGTCATATTAGACGCAGGGACAGCCCTTCTAGAACTCACAGACATTCTCAGACCTAAGCATAAATTCAGGGTACAGTTCTATGGAAGTAAAGGGCTTAGAATCAAAACGCAGATCCATTAATACGCAAATGTGCTCTTCATAAGAACGTATCATAGGTTGCATATGCTCAAATTACACTTGGGAAAATGATCCAACACAGCTGACACACTGCATTACCACTCTGTTTAAACCCCTATCTCAAGGTCCCACAGCCAGAGTAAGGGCAGAGGAACTGTGCAACACCATGCTCAGTAGAGCCCCACAGAGCCTGGAGAAAGCACCAGGAAACTACAAGACCCAGCTCTCGGACCCTGAAGCCACTTCACACTCAGCTTCAAGAAAAGCCCCATATAACACTCATAAATTATTAAATCTCTTGATTGCATGGCAGATCAGGAGCCACGAGTGAAAGGCACTCCTACATGGATACAAAAACATCTTCAGGCAAGAGA